ATATTAAATCTAACGAGTTTTTTGGTAAAGTTCGATGAAGATAAACGAAATAGTTTGTTTTCTTTTTCAAGTAATTCTAAAATGAAAAACTATCTCCTTTAGGAAATATATTTCTTATAACTACTATTTTAGTTGTTGCATGAATATGGTTCGTACATAATGAGCAGCTGAGAAACCAATTTGGTATTTATTGGTGTATTCCGTATTTTTAACATGTGGGTCTATGACTTAAAAATTGAGTAGTACTAAAGAGAAAAAGGATAACTTGGTTATACTTTCAAGTGATAAAAGTAACAGAGATGGGATTGATTCTTGTTTTATTTTTGAAATTCAACCAAGTCAACACTTATGAACAAGTTAACAACCGAAGTTGAATAGAATGACTTGTAAACGAGTCAAAAACGGCTTCTATTTCAATGATCATTTACGACTCAGTCTAAACCTAAGAAACACAGTGTTCAACGACATCTGTTGTAATCATCGTTTATGTCCCAATAGAAACGACTATATTATTCCGCACGCCAGTTTTATCCGGTTTTCAAGTTGTTCACATATCAAATAAAAAATTGATTGCATAAACATCATTAGATAATTTCTTGATGATATACAACAGGTCAATCTTAATGATTATACCTAGCATTTCTAGTTAAATCAATTTCTAATGGTTCAGAAGTGTTTTGCTGCAATAGTACTCCATTCAACTCTTTTTCTTTTCTTAAAATTTGTTTTGTTTTGTTTGTTAATATCAAACTCCAATTTATATTTTTGAGCAAGTTCAAACATCGATGAATAGATTGTGTGCAGATCTATTCGACGACATGATGCACGTTCTACAAAAAACGTCTTTATGTCTTTACATATGATGAGCGTCATGATATTGAAATTGAGTTATCAAGTACATGCACACAATTTTGCATATTTCTCGTTCATCATTTTCTTTCATTGGTAATTCCATATATGAGAGAATCCATTCGTTGGTGTTCTAGTTGCCTAATAGGAAATTTATCTAAGTTTCAATGCTGTTGCTCACTGCATAACGAAACAATAAATTGCAAACTTTTAAAAACGACAAAAAACAATTTTAGTGAGTCATTCGTTGAAAAAAATAAAACATCTTTGATATTGTAATTTTTTTTAGTGAACGAACTATTATATTTAAAAAAAATGTGTTATGGCACTTTCATGCACACAAGGCATGATTATCATGTCTATGTATGCTTCTTTGTCATACAGCTACTTCGAATGTAGCTTTTGATGATAAATCTGTATGCAGGAATGTTATTTATATAATGAAATACTTCGTATAATAATAGAAACTATTAGCAGCTGCCACCTAGGGTATTATTCGAGTAATGAAAATAAGTTGCATGCGACAAAAAACGATGTAAATACGACAGCATACGATGCCAATACAGTCCTAATGCTATGCAAAGGCAATAATCACACTGTTTCTCCATCGTTTCAAGCAGTTTGAATGATTGATCTAGAAAATGCATTAGAGTATGAGATTTAGATGAAGATTATTCTTCTGTTATTTTTGGAATCAAACAAATCTAGATTTTAAACGTTTCGAACCGATTCCATTTCTGAAAACTAATATTTATGTTCTCAACTTATTCAACATTATCACTGATAATCATCAAGAAATATTTTGTATTTTTAAAATATATGGAAAACAAAATTGCACTCTTTTACGAAAAATGTAGACAATATTTTTTTTAACGGTTTTTTTTTTTTATTTCATAAGACAATATATAAATTCAGTTTAAAGAAATAAGCAAAGAAGTATACTTAATATATAATAAAAACAATAGAGACTGTTGGTTCAATCCAATTCGATGTGTTAAGAAAACCAAAAAAAAAATATAATGTCATTTAAAGATTTTCATAGGAGATAAGGCAACTACTGTTTTCTTTTGTCATTAATAAAAACAAAAGAATGCTCATAAAAATACTGTTCACATAAATATTATGTTTTCGTTTCCATTCTCATTATATTTAATTTTTCTTCAGCCAATTTTGTACCTTGAATACGTGCTCGAATTTTGTCAAATGAAATTTGTCTTGAAGTTGATTGATCATCATCAAATGGTGAAAAGCCACAATCATCAGTAGTACCCAATTGTTCAACAGGAATATATATAGCAGCTTCTAATACTCTTTCACATACTTCTTCTGGTGTTTCAATTCTTGTTTTAAGAGGATTAATAACTCCAACAAAAATTCTATGCCATGGTTGCATTAAATCACGAATACGTGATAATATTTGACTACGATTTGTTTCAGATGATAATTGAAGAAAAAAATTTCCCACTTGAAGTTCAAATATAGCAGGAAGAATTAAGAGATAATCAACATCAAATGAATGATAACAATCTTTATCACCACCTAAAATAAAAATTTATCAATCTTTCTTGATGATTTCACATAAAAATTCATAAAGAATATACCTGCACAAACATGAACACCAAGTCGAGGTCTTAATTTTGGTTCAAAACGACTTAAAACTCGATTATTTATTCGTACAAATTCACGTAATAATTGTCCAGTTGGATCTATTTTTAATGAAAAACGAGCTTCAGTAAAATCAAGTTGAACCGAATGTGCACCACTTGCAAAACATTCACGAACATCAGTTTCTACTTCACTCATTAAATCAACCAAAAATTGTTCACGAGAATAACCTTCAATAGTTGCTTCCGGATAAACCATCGATAAAGCTGAAGGTGATATAACCGCTTGTCTATATATCATAATGAAAATATTATTATTATTATTATTATATAATAGTAAACAAATAGAAATATATTTTTTCTACTTACTTAATTGGTAAATTCGTATGTTTTTTTGCTTCATCGACGTATGTATGAGCATAAGTTGCGTATCGAAAAGGAGCTTTAGCAAGACGTGGTAATGATCGTTGATGACCATCAGAAAAAGTTAAAGCAAAACAATTTGATGAAAATGTATAATATTCATCAGCTAAAGCATATATTGGATAAGTTAAAAATGATGGTTTTGTTTGTTCACCATCGGTTACAACTTTTGAACCAGTTGCTTCTAATTCTTGAATTGTTGTATAAATAGCTTTTTCTCGAAGAGTATTTAATCGATTACGACCAAGCATTCCATATCGATAACTTCGTTGAGCTGCAATTAATTCATCTGGTCGGGGAATAGAACCAACTTGTTCACTTGGAATAATGATCTAATCAAAATAAATTCTTAGAATGAATCAATAGTTTTAAGATAAAATAATTTTTACTGCCGTACCCTGTCAAACATATGTTCATTTGCCATTGTTATGATCGACAGAAAAAAAAGTTTCAGGACATTTTATATATATATATATGTGTTGAAAACAAGATGGAACAATGAAACGAAATACGTTTGGATGATCTTTCACTGACGATTATTCGTTCATACTTTAGATTTGAATGGAGTTCGTGACAAATGATCCATTAGATCATATTAAATGTATAGTCACGCTATGTGAATAAATGATTGACATATGATCGAATTTCATACTTATCTTAATCTATATATTGAAATCTTGAAATATATTTTTATAAATAACAAACATAATACAGTAAAACCTCCTTTAATGAACACCTCCCATTTGAATACGTGTCTCAGTCTCTCCAGATCGAGTTTTGTTGTAAATGGACCTCTATACAATGAATACCTCCCACCTCTGAACAATGAACACTTTTTTGGTTCCTTCAGCAAAGAAAACCTCTATATAATGAACATGTGTTCAACAATGTATGCAAACATGCGTAAGGAAAGAGGAAAAAAAACACAATGCGCATTCTAAAGAAATGCTAGGTTAATTCGTGCACTCAACTCTACATCGACACGAAAGGTCCCAAATAGACGATGATGAAGGATTATTTTGAACAAAGATTGTAGAAAAAGTCATGCACTATATAAAAGATTTGGTTTCGTTCTTTGATTCATCTGCAATGAACTTCACATGAATTGTGTAGTAATCAAAATAACTCACTCATCATCGTATGCATGCAACAGTTCAATCTGTGCAAAACCTCTATAAGATGATCACCTCTCATAATGAACACTTTTTGGAAAGTTCCAATGGTGTTCATCTTATAGAGGTTTTACTGTATATTAGATTGATGAATAACTTCTCAAGTGACGATCAATATTTGAACAAATTTTGAAGAACTTGTTTTTTATAATATTATAACATCTATATGATCTATACACATATCAACACAGATACAATGGTGCAATAACAAAAACTTAATCATTAGAATAGGACCTCCCTTATTATAGAGAGATCCTATGAAGTGAAGTTTCTTAGTTTATATCTGAATTAATAAAATATTATTAAATACAGCAAAGTCTAATATGAGATCATTTAATAAGAATAGAAAAAGTCTTACAAGTTTTGTTATAAAAAAAAATATTATAAGAAAATTCGTAAATGAATCTCATTTTCTAGTAACTAACAATTAAATGACTAAATTTAGGTTTCTGATCATCAAAAATTATTGAATATATCTAATGGCAAATCAAAATAATCTGTCATTTCGAATTCTATTAGTAATTGTATATGTCGTTGATTAATAAGCATTAATCATCCTCAAAATCAATGTTGATATCGAAGAATCAGTATAATATTTTCTTTGAATATTTATTATTTTTGAAAATCAGCTCTCTCATCCATCGTTTGAACCCCTTATTACCTAAAATTCTTTAATAAAAATATAATAAAATTTTCTCACATTGATTTTTTTTAAAAAAAAAGGAACAAAGTTTTTCATAACATCATCATTCAATCATAGGTTTTACTGTAGAATCTAAAATGCACAATTCAAATAGGAAACTATTGAATTGAGCAAAAATTTATATTAGTGTGAACGCAGCGTAATAAAATTAAAGAAACAAACAAATTGTGAATGAAAGCGTTTTAACATAGAAAATATAATTAAAGAGTCACATAGTATAATTAGTTGTGTTCTTTTTTAAATTTTGCTTTATTTTTTAAGTAATGCTTCTGATTTCGGATCATTGTCACGTTCCATTCTTTTATTTTTAACCTTTCGTCTAGCACTAACTTCCATAATAACAATAATAATGATGATTAAGACAAAAGCTAATATCATGATCATTGCTTGTCCATATCGAACGGCAAGATGAACCATTCTTAACATCCGAATAGTTGCATCATTGACATTAACTTCTTGATCTATCCATACGAGAGGTATCATACGTTTGACACTTTTACGTGTTGTCTGTTCAAGTCCATCTCCATACATTGATTTTTTCATTGGGTCAATAGTAGCATCAATATTGAGTTGCAAACGATGATGAGCACGAATTGGTGTACCAGAATATGGGTCAAAATAAATTAATGCTTCATGTTTATCACGTGTTGGCGTAAATCCTTGAATATTCATTTGTTCGATTGTTTCATTACTACTTCCATAAAAATGTGCTTTTGATAAGAAAATAGTATTGTTTGGAAGTGAAGAAGATATACATTGCGATATATCGAGTTTATCAAGTTCTGGACATGTATTTATATCACTGTCATTTGTACATTGATTTAAATCAACTAATCTTATAACATATTCATGGACTTCAATACCTCCAAACATAGATAGAACTTTATTAAATTTAACATTAAGTGGACGACAAAAATCAGGTTGAAATATATTCATTGATGGTTTATCGAAAAGCATTGGAATAAATGTAAGACCATCATAGATTGGAAAACCATAAAAATTTGGTGAAGAAAATGAAAATGGAGCATTTTCACTAGCAAAAGCAAGTACTTGTCCTTTTTCCATCAAACCTAAAATTAAAATAATTTCAAATATTTCGATTTTGATTAACGTGACATGAAAATCTTCATGCTTCATGTAATAATACTGCCGTTCATTTATTAAGATTTCTCTGATACTCCAAAAACTTAATTATTCTAAACAAAGACACTTTTTGAGATATATCTATATAGGTATGATGTCTTAGTTGTCTACCTTGAAAGTTCATTGAAATGACTTTCAATATTAAAAGTTTTTCTTTAGAAATCACAGATGAGTTTCTAGATCTTTCCACCAAAAAGTCAATACTATTTCCATAAGAAAATTATCAGCGCTATTACAGTTACAGCCTCTTATCGTAGTTCAAGGTGTAGCTAGAAGGTCACTCGATAAGACTCTAGAGAAATTTTTAAATGGTACGTAATATAATCATATTTAATGTTCATATCAGAAAGTTTTTCAGGTAAATATATCAAAAACATTTTTTTCGAGAGTGTTCGTTTTAGTAAACTACAATTTTATTTATTCTATAGATCAATCAAATTCTCTCGTGGATAAGAAAACTGGATTTTGTATTCAACTTTCACTACCAAAGTAATCATGAACTTCATAAAAAAAGATTGCCAAAAATTTTTGGAACTTTAAGATTTTAAAGACCAAAAAATGAAATAAAATCAACTTAAAAAAAATCTCTTTCAGTTATCCGAACTGGTAAAGATTTTCTTTGTAACGAGAGCAACTCAAGCGCTGCAGCTTGAAGTTTATTGAAAAAAAAAAACATTTGTATCTGTGAAATCTCTATTTTACTCCATAGCTTCTGGAAATCCCTTGCACAGTACAGTTTGAAGCCGTAAGATTTTTTTGTAATAGTGTATTTTCATTAGCTGAATGTCTCCAGAAAGTTTCATGGAAACAGTATACAATGTATCGAATACCGATTTCTAAAGAAAGCGGAAGCTTTACGCAAAAAAAATATCCTCTATATATTTGAAATTACTTGCGAAATTAAAAAATAATCACATACAATTCTCGAGTTTGATAAAATATTTTAGTATTTAATTATTTTTGAACATTTTGTAACATGGAATACACTTCCAGTTAACTGTATTTGTAATTTTACCATGCGAACATGGCAAACAAAAAAGTTTTTCTAGTAGAATATTTGACACTACTTTTATGTTTCATTCATCTACATATAATTCTTATATTTTATTTCATAAAAATTCTTAAAATTAGAAAACAAGTTCTCATTCCATATGAAAGAGAGAACTACAAGAAGTTGTTTTCAGAAATTAGTAGTTTAGCATTCATACCTGCTTTAATTGTATAATTGTATGATCGACTACCATTATATCGATAAATAAAACCTGACTTAGCTTTATTTGGTCCAGTCATTTTATCTTGAACTATTCGAAATAACTCCGAAGTAAATCCTTCTAATTGTTCAACAGCATTTCGATGATAAAATGTATTCATGCCAGCGAAATCATAGAATGTTTGTGTTGCTCTAAGTTGAAATTGTGTTCGAAAAATAGCTCGAACTAAATCAAGAAATACACCTGTATCATTAACAAATGTTGGATCAAATCGAGTTGGATGACGAGTAAATAATCGATGAATTGAATAACTAATTGATTTATTATCTGCTGACCATTGAACATCTTGTTTAGTCGAAGATAACGAATATGAATAAGATGGAGTTTCTTTAACATGTACTGTAGTCGAAGAAGGATTAGTAACTATTTCAGTAGGATTAGTTATATTAAAAAGATGATAACCGCGTGTTATAGTTGTTGGTGGATGTAACCATGAATCATAACCTACTGTATTCGGTTTAAGTACAATTACTTTATAAATGTGATTTATAATTAATTGTTTCCAATAGATACATAATAATATAGCTGGTACGAGAATTATAAGAGTAATTATCACTTCTATAACAATCCGAATTGTTGCCTTTTTTTTTCGTTGAGTACTCGATACCTGTTCACTTTTTTTCTTCATTTTTCTTTAACTGTGTGGACAATCTAATACTGAGTTCCTGTTCTTTGCATCTTTTTTTAAATATATAATAATGATTATTTGCTTTGACCGCAAACAAAAGAACGCAAAAGGAAAATAAGGACCTTTGAAGCAGTGATATTTATGTTTGCAACAGTTGCAAGTGTGTCTTTTTAGTATAGTTGAAGCGGTTATATCTCAAGATATTATATCACTTATCAAATAAATTATATACTCGGGTTAAGAAATAAAATATTTCAAAGAATTTCATTAAAATATGATATTCGTTTTCTTTTTCAGTTTATTGTTTTAGAAAATTTTAAGAACCATTAAAAAGAAGATGAAAAAAAAAACGATAGTTATATTGTCAATACTTCCATTTGATTATAAAGGATCACGTGACAAGTCAATAGATAATGGTAAAAAAATTGCAAATATAATTGTTAATACGACTAGTCTGTGTATTCAATTGAAAAATAGTCGAAGACATTTTCGAATTAATCACACTTTATATTCATTACTTTTGTTTGGCAAAAATCAAAATGAATATCTGCTGACGACTAATTGTGTATATTTGATCAGAGCTATTATTAAAATCAAACATGAGGGTGTCATAAGTAACTAAAGTTTATAAAGAGACAATATAGAACATGTATGAATAACTATTATATATTAGATAGTATACCAAATTATTGATGATGATGACAAATGTTTTTTTTAAGGAGAACACCTAATAAGAGTTTATTTTGGATTTTAAAGTGACTATTTTAATAACGAATTTCGAATATATTTTATACAATAGAATAAGTATGCGTGATGTGGGTTTGCTTTACTTCTTGCACACATACACATCCAGACTGACACTCCTATACTCATATACCTGACAAAGGATCATTGTTAAGGCCCACTCCCTCCTTCAAAAATCGATATCAGGTCCAGAACTCCAAATTCCATGAAACTTTCAAGATATGTTAGGACTAGTGAGCCTGACTATGGTAAAAGATTCAGTCCCATAACACGATGTTTAACGAAGATATTCACCAAACAAGGGTCAAAAATAGTTCTTTAGTGTCTTCAAGTTTTCTCCGTGGGCCTTCATTCCGATCATTTAATTTTTTTTTGTTTGAAAGAGCATGTCAGAATCTAGCTCCTCTCGTGGTCCTTTTTTAAAATTCTTACTTTTTAGGGGAAGAAAAGGAATGACAAGTTCAATGACTCAAAAACTCCCAAAAAATGCCGCTGTTTCTATGAAGATGTTCTGTTATTTAACACTAAAAAGGCTTATTTTAAAAAAGGAGCCACGAGGGAGCTAGCTCTAGATACAAGCTTTCAAACAAAAATCCATATTTGACTTTATCTTTTACTGTGATAAAGTTCTGCTGGAGATACGTTATCGAACCCACATTTTGAGAAAAATGAAAAATGATTTTCAGTTTTTTGTAAAAACGGCTTGTTTTTCGAATAGGGGTAAGGAAAATCTTTGAAAAAAAAGAGATGTCGAATAAAAACTTTTATCGGGCATGAAAGACCAGATGATCGGCTATTTCTCCATGAATTTATCTAAATTTCGATGATTCTGGTGAAAAGGGACCTTTTTGAGGCGGCAGAGGGGGGGGGGGGGAAGCTTAATAAACTATTCTAGCATCTATCAGAAAGTATACTCCCTTTTCTGACCATATCTCATCTAGGAATCTTCATGATCAACATCATCGTAATACAAAATAAATATCTTTTATTGCATAATATATATATAAAAGCAAAACATCTAAATTTCAACTTGAATCTAAGACCAAAGGACTATAGTATTATGAGAGAAGAGATGATCACAATATTTGTTTGTATTGTTATGTTTATTGATAAAAAAAAATAACCATTAAAGTTTGATTGAACACAGATATATTGGAGACAAAAAAAGTTGAACAGTATAATATGAATGTTTTAAGCATTTACTTTTTTCATTTTTCTTTGAAAAACAGTAAAAAGGAAAATAAAAATTAAATTGAAAACTAATTAACATGATAATCATGTTTTTTAATGTCTTTATTATGCTACTTTTGAATTAATGCTTGTCAATTGATATAATTTGCAAGTGTATATCACTTTTTTTATGCGTACGTTCAATGATTAATTCTATATAAAGAATAAAACCAATCGATAATCCAATTGCTAATCCTATAGTAAAATATTCTCCATAATGAAGAAACAAAAGTGGTATTCGCAATGTGTTTATAACTGTTTTTGATATAATTACTTTTTGATCAATCCAAAAAATAGGTATTAAACGTTTTACACTTCTATGTGTTGTCTGTTCAAGTCCATCTCCATACATTGATTTTTTCATTGGATCAATAATAGCATCAATATTAAGTTGCATACGATAAACAGCTTCGAATGGTATACCTGTATATGGTTCAAAATATATAACTGAATCATGTTCATCAGTTGTTGGTGTAAATCCTTGAATATTCATTTGTTCAATTGTTTCACTATTACTTCCATAAAAATGTGCTTTCGATAAAAAGATTGTATTTTTTGGCATTTTATCTGATATACATTTGGATATATCTATTTTTTCGACTTCATTACATGTTCTTGTATCACTTTGATTTGTACAATTATTAAAATCGATTAATTTAATTTTGTATTTATACATTTGCAATCCTCCAAACATAGTTACTTTCTGATTTAGTTCAAGAAGAATTGGATGACAAAAATCACCTTGAAGAATATTAAACGCTGGCTTATCAAAAAGCATTGAGGGAAATGTAAGACCATCATAAATAGGAAATTTATAATGAGACGGAGAAGATATGCTAAATGAAGCGAATGCACTAGCAAATGTTTGTACTTGACCTTTTTTCTCTGGATCTAAACAAAATATAAATATTTGCAAGTAGACATTCTTGTATTGGATATATCAATGATTTTTTGTTACTAATTGTACTACTTTTATGATATTGTTTATCTACCAATTTTGAAATTGTATGCATTTTTATAAACCAGAATAAACGGAGACATTCTTGAAAAACATTTTTTTAAAATTCTTGCTCTATTATTCTAATTCTTACTTTATAATTGAAAAATTATGAAATATCCTTAAGAAATTTTTCTTAATCACTAGTTAGCAAATAACTATAACTTATGTGTTATGGTTCATACTTATGAACAAGGCTGATATTGAATTCACTATCCCTATAGAAAGCTTTATTTCTTTGATTAATTGTTAGGCTCAATAGTGCTCGGTTATGAGTGGATAAGCATGGATGAGAAGGTGTCGGATGCAGTTACATTAGGTATGATTGTGACTAGACAAAATTGCAATCGTTTCAACAAACATTATTCGTTCGATTAATAAAATCTATTCTAAATGTTTCGTACATGATAGAATATATATGGAAAATGGTGTCACTAATAGAGGAAAGACGAATTTTATTTCCATATAAATATCTTTCAAAAAAAAAAAAGAACATAGAAAATTGTTATCATGAGCTGATTTAACTTCTATTGTCAAAGTTACAATCACTATTTTCAAGATATCAGTATTCAGGCTTTTCTGCCCCAGTTAGGTACTAGCTACAAAACAAATGTCATCAAAATCAATAAATCTTCTAGAGGAAAATGTCCACTAAATTGCTCTATTTAATGATAGAATTGCAAACTAGAAAGATGCAAGTAGTGGAGATTTAGTCGAAGCAATGTGATGGGAGATTTCGAGAACATTTCGACAAAAGATATATTCATAGTAGTGATTGTAACTTAGAAAACAGAAGTTAAATCAACCCATAGTAAAATATTCGCTTCTTCTTTTCAAAAGATATTTATATAGAAATAAGATTTATATTTCATTGTCTTTCTTTATATATTCTAAGAATTCTGCAGTCAATTTTCATAATTTCTATGGTTCTGTTTTATTAGACTCAAAATAAAACTAAAATATTCAACTAATTGAATAGCAAGTGATAATTTTCACACAAATAATATAAAACTTTTTAAATGTATATTATCTTACCGACTTGTATTGAAAAATTAAATAATCCACTGCCATTTTGTCGATAAACAAAGCCTGATTTCTTTTTATTTGGTCCTATCATGTAGTCTTGAACCATATTAAATAAATCTGAAGTAAATCCTTCTATTTGTTCGACAGCATTTCGATGATAAAATGTTTCCATGCCAGCGAAATCATAGAATGTTTGCACTGCTTTAACTGAATATTGTGTTCGGAAAGTTGCTCGAAGTAAATCAATAAATACACCAGTATGATTAATTGATGATGGATCAAATCGAATTGGATCACGAGTAAATAATCGTTGTACTACATAACTTAAACGTTTATTATCATTTGACCAATGAATATTTATTTTATTTGTTTCTATATTATAAGTATAAGGAGGAGTATCCTTAACTTGTATAAGAGCAGAAGCAGGATTAGTAACTATTTCAATAGGATTTGTTATATTGAAAAGATGATAAGTCATAATAGCAGTTATTGGTGGATTACACCACAATTTGAAACTATCTGAATCTGGCTTAAGATTTACTGAGTTGATGATATGTGTTTGAAGTGTGTTTTTTAAACAAATTGACACAGGATAAGCTGGTATAATAAAAAGAGCAGAAACCAATGCTTCCAAAAGACATAGTTTTATCCTCCGTTTTCGTTGTTCATTCGATACATAATATTGATAATCGTTCGACGACATAATCACGTGTTAGTTATGACAGTAGAATGGTAGATACTTCTTTTTCTTTTTTTTTCTAGGCAATAATTTATTCTTTTTTTACCGTACAAAAAAAAAGAACGAAAAAAAAAATCAAGCATTTCGACGGTGCAAATAAGTTGATACTACCAGCTCATGCATGTGCATACTGTATAAAATGTTTCAGATAACATTCCAATTGATGAGAGTAGAAAGAAAACAGGACCATGTGAAGATAATGATCATTATTATAAAAATATGCATTGCTTATTCATATGTATCAAGTGAATAAAAACTATTGAAAAAATGAAATACAAATCGAATGGGAATACTATGGTGTAAAAACACCAGGTTCCTTCCTATTAAACACTAATAATAGTTCGTTAATATCATAGAACAAAATTGAAATATTTCTAAAAAAAAAGAAATAATTTTTTTTATTTATTTTATAAGTGAAGATTCGAAATGAATCCAGACTTACGAATCAACAATGTGAATATAAACATATATTTGTACTTCCATTATAAATGGGTGTCCTAGAATAGATTACACTTCGTATTAATGCAATTGTTTTCTACTTTTTAAGTAAAAAATTTTTCTGAATATGTCAAATGAGACAGAATTTTAAGCTTTATAAAGCTGTCATCTTTATTTTTCAAACAAGTTTTTCTTTTAGGCGCCCAAATTTACACTTGACCAGTCAACTGCGATTTCTATTAGTTTCTGTAAACCTGTACTCATCAAGACCAATGTCTCTAGAACGATTTCAAGGTTTCTGATGCTGGTTTTCATGGAGAAAAAAAAGAGTGAGAACTGACATCTATCAATATTTTTCAGTTTTTTAAAAGCCAAGTTTGCTTTATGAAAGATTTATTATGTTGTCTGTTGAAAACTGTAGTTTGAAACAAAATGGTGCAAATCTTAAATAGAACAGTGAAATATTTAGGTTGTTTTGAATTAATAAAATAACAATGGCATAAGCCTATAGGAAACGAACTCTTTCAGTACTTTTATATTTTTTACTTCAAATCTATTTCTCTTGAATATTCCTTCTAAAATTGTAAAAAATGTAGCCAAAGATGTAGAATTTTACGAACATTTTTGTGGGATCTTAATTTAAAAAAATTTCATCAGTTGTTTGCTTTGTTCATTGTCATAGTTGAACGATGAAGTATTCAACTATTAAACTTTACATCGACACGATAAACTTGTTTGAAAAAGAAAATTGACAATTTTGTAAAGTTTGAAATTTTTCTATTATTTAACATAAAAGAGAATTCTTTTTTATTCTGATTAAATATTAAATGTAATATCTTCTACAATAATCTGTAGAAGAAAAGTTTATTTTTCACTTTATTTAAAAATTTCTTTGGTATTTCATATTCACAAGAGATTTCACTTGAAACTAGTTCGTTCTTTAGTACCATCGATATATAAAATTGTTGAAAGATAACAAATAAGGAATGACTACAAGTCCATGGAAATTCTACATTTTATAATTGAATATCTGATCTTTCTTTTAGATATTTGTGTTTCGAGGATTTTCAATGAAAATATACTAAAACGTAATAATTATTGATGTTAATTAACACTAAAACGCAAAAGCATAGTTTTTATTTTTTATCAATTGATAATTCTATTGTGAATCTAATATCGAAAACGGTTGACACCATTTGATTCTGGATGAGTTTATCTTGAAAATTTTTTTAATTTCTTGTTTTTAAATACTTCCATTTTTGATGACAATTATTCGAAACTTTTGTCAGCTGAGTTCTCCTTTGGCATTCATAGGGAACAATAAAAGATGATATATAGAAAGGTTCCGTCATATTTATGAAAAGATGACATATAACGAATATTTATTTTTCATTTCTATTAGATTATTTTGTACAAAATCAATTTTCGCTTCTACTTTGCAAATAAATCCATTAATTGTTTCTTTAAAAATGAATGATACTTATTAGTCACATGATTATTTTTCAAATTTAAATACATATTTTCTATAAAGCAAATCAATTGATTCTTTTTCTCAGAAACAATTCTATTCATTGATTCAAGATCTTCTATTATAAAATCCTCGTTGATCATAATATCTAATAAAAAACTAAGTTGATATTGATTATGTTTTTTCCTTGATTTTAATCAATCAAAAAAAAAAAACAATTTAATACAAAAAAAAATGTTCTAGTTGTAAACAAACATTTTTCTTTCGAAAAGAATTTGTTGAATTTTAACGCTTTCGACTAAAAGAAAAATTTCAAATTAAAATAATAAAATAACTTTGAAAAAAATTCTACATACAATTTATATTTTCGTCGAGCATTTCGTTTTCCTGGTTGTTTACGTTCTTTACGTCTAGCATCTTCAGTTAAAAGACCGGCTATAATTAAATTACATTTGCATAAAAAAAAAAAAACAATTTTAAATAAAAAAAATGTAACCTAATCGAAGATATTCCACTTCTTTTGATGAAATAAATGAACACAATGCTTTTGATATAGCTAAACGAGTTGCAATAGATTGTGCTGTAAAACCAATACCATCATAAACAACATTGATATCAAACAAATTAACACGATCTAATACTTTAAATGGATACAAAAGTTGATCACTATACGTATAAAAAATAAAATAATTAAGGTGAAGAAAAAAACAAAAAAAAAATAATCAAACCGATGAATAATTCGTGTAAAATAAAGTATATCATTAACAGCTGTTTTAACAGATGGTGATTTAATTGTAACTTTTCCAGTTCCTTCACGTAATGTAACTGTTGCTGTACACCATTTATGTTTAGCTAAAATATTGAACAACAAAAAAAAAAAAAAAGGAAATGAAGAAAGAAAGGTTATATAGAAAAAGAAAAAATTTGTTCTCCTTCAGCTCAAATTTTTGTTGAACATAAGATTAGCTTGAAGATAGTAACGTGTAGTCAAACAAGAGGCAATCATCTATTTAAACAATAGAAGCAAACGATCACATTTATTTGTAGATAAATGTCATGCACAACATTCATTTATTCTTTTCTCAATGTGGTTGTCTTCTATCTATCTTATTTTTCTATTAGATTTAATTTTATCAGGTAAAATTTATTTTAATAAAAAACAAAATAAAAGTTTTTTTTGCTTTTTACTTTTTTTAAGCAAAATATAATCGTATATGTTATTTTACAAATTGGGGTGCACATAGATCATTGAAAGAATCTCGACTTTATCCAGAAGATATTCCACCAGATTTATGTACACATATTTTATATGCATTTGCTAATCTTCATGGTAGATCATTGCAACCACAATTAACTAATGATATTAATGTTTATCAAGGAGAACAAGTTAGAAAAAAAAAAAGAAATCTAGAATCAAACATTCTTTTTTTTGTTTTGTTTTAACTGTTTTAGCCACTTTATCCACGTATAATGAAATTAAAAGAAAAGAATCCAAATTTAAAAATTCTAATTTCATGTGGAGGATGGGGAAAAGCAGGAGATTTCGAACCATTAGTTGGATCAGAATCATCAAGGTATAAATCTTCTTCTCTTTTTCTTTTTTCAAGGATGTTTTTTTTTCTTTCTAGAGAATCATTTAGTGAAAATGTAATAACATTTTGTCGTCAATATGGTTTTGATGGTATCGATTTAGATTGGGAATTTCCCTCTGCTGAACATCGTGAACGTTTTGGATTATTAACCAAAGTATTTAAAAAAATATCATTAATTTTTTTCTTTTGTTTTTAAGAAAATTAATTTTTTTTTCTTTTTTAGACAATGCACAAAATGTTTAAAAAAGAAGTTAAAAAATCTAAAAAAGATCGCTTATTAATTAGTTTAGCAGTTGCAGCTGGAAAGTATTTAATAAAACAAGGTTATGATGTACCGGTTCTATGCAAGTAAGATTTTTATTCAAAAATAAAGACAATCTTTATTGATTTTCTTTTTCTTATTTAGGAATGTTGATATGATTAATGTTATGACATATGATTTATATGGTGGTTGGTATAATAAAATAGGTCATCATAGTGCCTTATTTCATCGAACTGGTGAAACCGGCATGGATAGAGAATTGAATACAGTATATTAAGAAAAAAACAAAACAAAATCTTCTTCGTTCGTTTTCAAATTATTCTTATTTATGTTTAGAATAATTCAATGTATAATTGGATTGAAGCAGGTTGTTCACGAGAACGTCTTAATATAGGTATTCCTGGTTATGGTCGAGCTTTTACAGCTGATGGTAGAGATCCATTAAAAGCATTAGGACAAAGTGGTGGTGGTTCTGGTGGAGTATCATCACCATATTTAGGTGAAAGTGGTTTACTTACTTATTTTGAAGTATGATATTTACTCTTTTATTTGTCTATTTTTTAAGATTAATATATAAATAAAAATTATTTAGATATGTAAAAAAGAATTAAAAGAAGGTTTTAAACGTTATTGGCATCAACAACATCAAATTCCAATTAGTTTTAAAGATGGAACATGGATTGGATATGATGATCCAGATAGTGTTAGAAATAAGGTATAAGAATAAAGTTTTCGAGAAAAAAAAATAATAAATTTATTCTATTTTAAAGTGTAAATATGTCAAACGTGAAGGTTTCGGTGGTGCAATGGTTTGGACATTAGATATGGATGATTTTAATGGACAATTTTGTCGAAAAAGTAAACAAAATTCTGTACATAAATTTCCATTAATTAGTGCAATAAAAGAAGAATTCGAAATAGATGAAATAACAACACCAATATCAACATTATCAATTGAAACATCAACATTATCAAATGAAACTATATTAATAAATGATCAATTTCAAATTCTTTTAGATCAAATGTTTCTCAATGCATCATCATCATCATCGACATCATTAAAATTTGATCAATACTATTTATTTCTATTTAATCTACTTACCAGTAGCTATTTGATATGGTCGACCATCAACATCGTAGCGTAACTTAAAGAATTAAATTATTTTTACTTTTGTTTTCTTTTTTTTTTAAGAAAAAAATTTGTTTTTTTTACTGGTTCAATATGTTGTTTACTTATTGTATCGGCTAATTTTGTTCGAAATGAATTTATATAATCTTTAATTGTGTATGCCATTGGATTTTTAACAAGACGATTTAAACATATTATTAATATTTTATACTACAACAAGAATAAAATAAGATTTTTCTTAAAAATAACTTTAAAAATTTTTACTTGTGCATCATCAAGTTTTTCTAAGAAACGTTGTTCAAAAATTTCTTTACTTTCCCATTGTGTATAATTAAATTCACTTTCATTTCAAAAAAAAAAACAAATATTAATTCTCTACAAACAAAAAACTTCAAGCTTTAATACACACTCATTTTGACTATAATCGGGTTCATGACCGGATGTAAGCATAGCAACTTCAGCTTTTTTAAGTTCTTCTATTTTACTAGCAACCGTCTAAATTTAGAAAATAAGATAAATAGAGAAGAAATTCTTTGCTTTTATTTTTTTTTTACATGTAAAACATCATAATAATTTTGTTTAGCTGTATAATACAGAAAATGAAATGGTCGACCAGCTTTATCAAATTGTACGGCTAATAAAACAAAATAAAATAAATGTCAATTAGAAATAAAATTTCAATAATACCTTTTTCTTTTGGATACATTTCTTCAGGTGGCTAAATAAACAAAAGAAAAGATAATAAATTAAATAATTCTATTCTTACCCTCATTTTAGGTCGGGCACGTTCATCAAGTAAACCTGATGGAAGTAAATAGTTCAAAGCATCCTAGAATATCATTCATATACAAAAAAAAAAAAAAAAATCTTCATTCAAGCATTTAGTTACATCAATTTTTTCTTGATTAAAGCTTTCGGGATCTTCACCCATAATTCTAGCTAAATGTCTTCGTCCTATTTCATATTCATAATTTTTTTCATCAAGAACCTTTTCTAAAAAACAAAAATAAAAACATTTAAAAAATTAGAAATTTTTCTTTTTTTTTTTTTTTTTGATGATCTAAAATGTTTTACTAACGTTTTTCTCTTGATTTCATTAAATAATTTTTCATAGCTTGACTAATCATTTCAGCACGATTACTTGTTGCTTGTTCAACACTATCAATTACTTCTTCTTCAGCAATTGCTTGTGCTGCATCACGACTATTAAGAAAACTTTCATTCTCATCTATTTCTTTTATTCCAGAAGTTGTAGATGTTTGTTGACGGTTTGATCTGGAATTTGAAGTGGAACTTTGTAGTCGATGAAATATAGACTAACAGAAAAAACACGAGAGAAATTAATAAAAAATGAACAAATATTAATTGATTATCTTACAGGTATTGTCGATCGAGTAGAAACAATTTGAAATATTGCTCGAGAGATGAATCTCGAGAGCATTATTATGTTCAAAATCTTATTTTTAATAATTGATTTGTAGATTCAGTGCTATAGTTTACCATTCGATTACTTATTTGTTGTTGAATACTCAAATGAAAATATATTACCATTGATAAGCGGCGACATCTTGATTTCGATTTTGAATTTGTAGGACGAAGTTATGAGCATTGCTTTAAATAACTCGAAAATTAAATTATAGAAACTTCAGTTTTTGTCATAACAAAGTGCACTTGAATAAAAATTAACTATATGTTCTATCATTCCAAATAAATGTACAATACTGGCAACAGAGAAAATTCACATTATACTTCATGTCGAAAACAGAGTTTCTAATGGCAAGTGTACACAGCGGAAGCAAAATGTACAAACATCTGCAGCTATGAAAATACACGCTGCTGTACACTTTACTTAAAAAAGCAGCGTGTACATTATTCTGGAAAATTTAATAAAATATCTTTGTTCATACTAGAAATTTTTGTTTTTTTTTTTTTTTTGCTCTTTCGCTTCACTTCGGTGATGTAAATGTCTGTGTACATTTTGCTGTACACTTTGCTTATCCAAAACAGCGTGTACTGTACATTTTGTTTTAGAATTCCATTAGAAACACTGGTCGAAAACATACAAGAATATAGATTGGTTGATTATGTATGATTAGAATTATTGCCTATAATTCGAATTGTATTTTTAAAATAATCCAAGTTCTTAAAAGTGTTCATTTGATACTTTTTAACACCGTTTCATTCAGTGTTCTGTCCGATGAAACGTAATAATACAATAATAATAAAAAACGCACTTGAAAAAAAAGAACGACAAACACATTAATCAGCAATGAGACGCCCTATTTTATTTACCATTTATGACAGAGTTTCAAATGAGTAATCTTTCTTTTATGCACAGAAATCTTCTACACAAGGACACAGTTTACAATCTTTACATTGTATTCTACACAAATGAATGTTGATTATTCAATTCTTCATTAAAAAAAGAATACTTTAGAATAGAGAGAATTACTTCGTAAATAATTATTATTTTTGATAATATATCGAATAAATTTGTATATTTTCTTGTGTCTATTAAGATGAACACAAAAAAGTGCGACAAATTATAATATTCAACTAATTTCTACTTCTAAATTTTGTAATCTGAGAAGCTTATCGAAATTTGTTATATTAATCTACTAATAATAAAATTATCAATAAATAATGAAGAAAATTATGTTTTCTTTAATGACAAGTTGAAGAAAATAGTAAAATAGTTGATGAACACATATAACCATGGATAGAAATGGTCAAATAAGAGACTATCCTTACATAAGAACCAAGTGAAATAAAAAGGTGAAAAATAATAAGAAATCACTTCTATATCATCAACAACTTCTAAAATTAAATACTCTAACTTATAATCAACCTCTTCGCTTTTAAAATAAAAGTTACAATATATTTTCAAAAATTGATAAGATAAAAATGGTACATATAATTATTAATACACTTTTTATGCCCCATTTTCAGCAGTGAAAATTTCCTCTAATCAGTTGATCATATAGCATTACATAGAAAAGTTAAATATAATGGATTTGTCTTGT